CAACACACATTTTCTACTCAAATTTACTCTCACTCACTTTCTTGAATAAGAAAATTCAAAAAGATTGAATTGGAAAATCATTTGATCATTTCTTCTTCTAGATTCTTTTTTGGTGAACAAGAAATGACCAGCAATAATTGTCAATATGAATATATGGATGAGACATCCATAAATTCTGAATTGATTTGTATCATCTGCAATAAACCATTCATTGAACCGATCTCTACTCCTTGCGATCATACATTTTGTCGTGAATGCCTCAAACGCTGGATTGAAAAGAATAAAAAAAATTGTCCAACATGTCGCCATTCAATTCTATCAATTGATATTGTTACTCAAGTCAGTCGACCATTACGCAATATGATCGATCAACTTCGTATCAAATGTTTGGTGTGTAATGAAATGGGATTGCAGCGATCTAATTTTAATGATCACATAAACAAAGTATGTCCAAAGGCCAATGTATTCTGTTCAGCTGTGGATATTAAATGTAATTGGACGGGATTACGTGAAGAGCTTCAAAAGCATTTAGCGACTTGTAAATGTGAACCATTGCGACCATTGCTTGCTATGCTTATCACCGAAAATCAACAACTCAATAATGAGAAACGACAACTTAACGAACAAATTCAGCAACAGAATATTCAAATAAATGAATTAACGAACAAATTGTCAACAGTGAACAATGGTAAGTTAATGTGAGATGAGCAAAATTAATGTTCAATCTAGTAGAAAATTTGTTAAATAGTACGAAATTGAAAAAAAACGAGGGAACGTTTCTCACAGTGTTATAAAGTTATCGATTCGATTCTTTGTTTTTATGCATAAGTTAGAGGATTACTAAATTAGGAGAATCTCAAGATATAGGCATGAGTTGCGATTTGGTCGAGATCTCGAATTTTGACCTAAAACATTGCACAAACAGAGCTCACAATAGAAATGTACAGAACCAATATTCAGGAGTTGTATGGGATCGAGAATGATCTCAGACACTTTTGATCACGTACAAACGATTATTCTTTTTTGACGAGAAACTGAATTTAGGAGTATTAACAGAAAATGACTTGTGATGTGTTATCGAACAATAACTTCATGACTTTTGCATAACTTACGCATTTAGTGTTTCTAAAATTCGTCCAAAATTTTCAATCTCTTTTTTTTGAATAAGTACTCAGTGTTTTATAGGACCGAGACTTTGCGAAAAAAAAAGGATTGAAATCGGAACCGAAAACTCATGAGTTTGTTCATCTCTAAGCCAAATGTAAACTAGCTTGTGTAAAAATTATCCAGAAATTTTTGACATTACGTCTATAAAACTTTCAAAATATCCATGATTTATGGAAAAGTATCCAGATTTTGAACGCATACTGTTTACAAGATGCAACGTCAAAATTTCTGCATTTTTTTGTTAAAGCTAATCTAACTATGACCTTTGGTTGTGCAAACTTTTAGAGCAAAATTCGACAATAGAATTTCTTTTTTTTTGGAAAATTGGGGCCCTGTTAAGAGAGAAAAAGCGCGATTTTATCTATTTCAAGTAAAATTCGAAGTACAAGTGACGTAGCGCATTTCCCCTTCGGTTCTACAGGAAAAACCCATTAAAACTTTGATATCTCGACCAAATTATAACTTGTACCCATATTTTCTTGGGATAATCTATGTGAGGCTCTATTTTATGAAGAAAAAAAATCAGATCAAAACGTTCGTTCGTTAGTGGAACTCTTAAACCAACGCGCCAGTTTCAAGGACAATTATTGGAATATTTTCATCAGAAATTATTTCCTTTTGTCAAAATCAATGTTTTGTATTTGACCAAAGTAAAAACACAGTCTTAATGAACATTAAAAAACAAAAGGAAACTGTACTCTGAATATTAAGCAAGATATCGTTCTAGAATTTCTACAGCTTCAAAATTACATGATGGTTTTCGATCATCGATGATGGGTGATTTTACTTCTTTTTTTTTGTTTTAGCACATCTGCAATTGGAGAAACTAATCGAAGATGAATCCTGTTTGACGATGGATCTTTCTGAACAAAAACTGACTGATCGAGATTTGACGGATGTCGCACAAAAGCTAATCGATAAACAGTGTACAATTCTTCAATTACAAGGCAATGCTATTACATCTCACGGTATTTCAATCTTAGCCAATGGATTATTACACAATAATACAACGTTGAAAGATCTTTGGTTGAGCAATAATTGTGTGTCTGATTTGGGTGTACAAACATTGACAAAAACATTATTGGCGAACAATACAACACTGACACAACTACATCTCGGTTCCAATTGTATTACGGATCATGGTGTTCGTCATCTAGTGGAAATACTCAAGGCGAATAGAACATTGACTCATCTATGGTTATATCATAATCAAATTGGTGATCAAGGTGTGCAACTCTTGGCTGCTCTATTGTCGAATGAAAATTCGAGCATCAAATATTTGGATCTTCAGTGGAACAAGTTAGTGACTGATAAAAGTGTCAATTCACTCATGCAAATGCTGCAACGTAATCGATCACTCGAAAGACTCAACGTACGGAAATGCAATCTATCTGTTGAAAGTAAAATGGAACTTTTAAAAGCAGTTGTACTCAAAAAAGACTTCAAATTGATTGTTTAATTCAAATTATTTTGTTGATTGAATATTTAATTTTGTAGATAAAATAGATACTGGAATTTGACTTAGTTTTATACTCATATCTTGTCGTATACTATACAAAATTCTGAATTGATGATTTCATTTTGTAAAGGACATTATTGTTTAGCGATTAGAAGGGCTCAAAGTCACGATTGATTCGAAATCAAACTACATAGTTGCATAATCTCTCAGAATGTTTTAATAAAGACAGAAGATTAATTTGTGATCAAAAGCTCATTCATCGAGAACCGAAGAAATGTACAATGCATCGGCCGAGAAATGTCACAATTCTTTTCGTTCTCCTGCACCACGCTATATGAGATAAATGTATCAGAAAATGCATTCCGATATTCGGTATTTCTTCAATTATCATGTGCCACTCTCACTCTCATGTAGTACTGTGTGTAATTGAATCATGTATGTAGGAAGTGAAGCATGATAGATGAGGGTAGATCGGTGGATGGGGTGACGAGAAGAACAACACGTTCACCCATCCATGGTCGCTATTATCCACTCGAACATATCACTGAATTATTTCAAATTGCGAATAAAGGCATTGGAGAAAAGACGACATTCAGTAGTGTAAATTCTTTGATGAACGAATTTGAGTTTTAAAACTTAGATAAAGCAGAATGCAAAAAAATCTTCATAATAATTTAACCATTATTTTGAATGGCATATAAACGATTCATTCGATTTTTCAATTGTACTGTTTAGATTTCAAAATTTTGTTTTGAAAGCTTAACCATTGTTCTATTCAAATATTCACTGGACTTATGAACCTGAAAGACGTCGAGTCGAAAACTTGGAAGGACGAATATATGATCAATGATGAAATTTCATATGAACGTGTCAAATGTAATTTATCACATTGCTTATGAACAAATTGATATGAAAATATTCTGTGGTTTAGCATCACTATTTACATCGATTTTATGTGTTCTAGCTTTTAGTCTTCAAGCATTTCTTTCCGACTGATCCATCCCAAGCAGTCAGAAAATTGAAATTGATGCGTTTTGTCTTTAAACGCATTTTACACAGTCAAAAATGTCCGAGTTGTCGGGGTGGGGTGTGGGTGGGGGTAGGGGTGGAGGTGGGGGTGTGGGGTGTGGGTGTGAGTGTGGGGTTGGTGTGGGTCTGCTCTTAGTCCACTCACACCTACACCCACACCCACCCCACACCCACACACCCACCCACACCCAGCCACCCACACCCACACCCACCCACACCCACACACACCCACACCCACACCCACATCCACCCACACCCACACCCACACCCACCCACACCCACACCCACACACACCCACACCCACACCCTAAAAAATGCTGTTTACCACAAATTAGCCTTCAAAATTTCTCGAAAATTTTAGAAAAAAAGGAAATTTTTTCAATGACTTTCTGGACGTCCAGGTTAGCTCAACCCCCCCCCCCCCCCCCCCGTCCTGTTCTCCCCCCCCCCCCCTCCTTACCTGGACGTCCTTTATGGATGGCCCCTTTTCTTTCTCTCCTCCGTAACTTATCGTGCATGTTATTATTGATGATCGATAATAATATGACATAATCCATGTGTATATCAATTAAGCGTTATCCATACACATACGTTTAGATATTTGTGATTGAACTTATCTAAATGTATATGTTTGTAGATGATAGCTTGATTATTATCATCTTTTCATCACTCTCTGACGAGAACAAAAAAAGAAAATTATCGACTTTTTAACGTATAAGTATGAATGATTTTCCATGTAAAAATCATTCAATTTATTGAATTAAATTCTAATCTTTTTTTTTTTATATTTTAGATTGGCTGCAACGGTACAAAATTATACAATTCAATTCAAATCAAGGCAATAAAAAAATGTAGGTATCAGTTTTTATTTTTTTTTCCTCTTGTTTTTTCTTTATTGGATCATACAGAGGGTGGTAAGTCCTCTTGTGATCTTTTATATTCATGTTTTTCTTTTCCTTTTAAATATTTCATCATTCAACATCAACGGGTGAGTTAATTTTTTTTTTCTTTTTCTTTTCTTCGTTGAGATGAGACTAGCTAGGGTGAGTGAGGTACATTGAGATTAGGATTTCGCGTTATAAGAAGGACTTCCGGGTAGTCCCTAAAAGCCCGGTCAGGAACTGCTTTGGTGTCTATGGCAACACGATCGGGCCCCCAGACTCACTGACATATGGCATCGAATGGGTGCATGTGGATGATGTGGGTCTTCCCGCGCGTACATGAGCATTATACTCGCCATGGCTCCACTAGGGTGGTTCCGGGTCACGCACGCGCGTGGGAGAACACAATCAATTTGAATGCATTTTTCTGTTCAATCACGATTTATTTGAAAGAGGAAAAGAAATTAATCATCGTATTGAGTTAATGCGATTTCAAATTTTTGTACTCGATGATTTTCGTAATCGGCGACATAGAGATTACCATGTCGATCGAATGATAAACCTACGGGACCATTGAGTTGATTCGACTGTGATCCTTCACCGTTTCCACCATTAATGACAGTTCCTTGTGTGGCTCCTTTTGGCCAACGCATGATCCGATGATTCCAATAATCAGTCGCATAGACAGTACCCAATTGATCGACAACGACTCCATTAGGACGATCCAATTGTGTAAGACTATTTCCTTGTCCATGGCCACCGGCTACGATAATGCCTTGTGTTGCATCTGCTTCCCATTTCATAACACGATCATTTCCGAGATCAGACACATAAACTGAATTATCTCGATCGACAAATACGTAGCGGGGGTCGTAGAGTTGATCGAGACGATTTCCTTTTCCATTGCCACCTGCAACCACTGTTCCTTGAGTATCACCAATTTTATATCGTCTCACTTCATGTTTTCTGTCGTCAACGACATAGAGAAAACCATTTTCGTCCATTGTCAAACTGAAGCAGGAGATATTCGAAATAATTGTTTCTCCACGAATACCATTTTGACGAGGCCATCGAACTACTCTGTTATTCTCATAATCGGAGATGATGAGACTATCGCTCTCTTTGTCGATAATCACATCATATGGGTAGCATAATTGATGAGCTCCATTTCCTTGTTCATTTCCACCAGCAACTACTTTCCCATTCGTTGCACCAGATTTCCATTCCACAATACGGTGATTCCAGCAATCAGCGACATAAATCGTTTGATCATCGTCGACGTACAAACCCCAAGGGAAATAGAGTTGATTGGTTTCACTCCCAATGCCATTTCCTCCAGCAACAGTGAGACCATTCTGTGACCATGTTGCATTCGGATGAATATCAATGGAACTTGCACGCATTGGTACTAAAATGAAACAGAAGTATGGAGTAGAAATAAAAATGGATTTCATGCTGCTAAGAAATTCATGAGATATTTGTAATTTAATTGATACGATCAGAAGAAATATCTAATTTTTTGTAAACATATTTATTAAATGTAATTGTTCTACTTTTACAATAATTAAAACTTCTGTGTTGGTTTTTTTTTGTTCAGAGATAAGACTTTCAAAGAAGAAAAGAATAAAATCTATCGCATCGTTTTAGTTTTAATTTTTGTACAATATGAAAACATTCCATTATCAATCTATATGAAAAAATAATTTCAGAAGATTTAAATTAGAAATCAATGAAAGCGTAGTTTTATTTCTTGTGTTTTATTGATAAAAAATACGATTTATTAATACTTATAAAAGTGAAAACAATATATATGTCAAATATTTGAGTAGATAATTGTTTTATCTATTAGTCTTTGTTTGAGTCAGTGTGAATTAATGTAAATATTTTATATATCGAAGTAACTTCGATATGACATATACATCTTTTCAGTTAAAAGAATAAATGAAGAAATCTTTGCTTAATAAGTGCTTATATTTTATATAATAGTCAAAAATAGAATTCCACTATATTAGAATACGATCAGAATTTTGATTACATTCTGCAACCATGTCAATAAAATTAAACTTTTAATTTGAATTAAGTTGAATAGTTAGAATTAGAAGATAGAAATGTAATTCATCTGATTGAGATAAAGCTAGAAGTTATAAATATTAATACAAAATTCTTTTTCCTCAATGATAATTGCTAGATGAAATATTCGCAATTTCTTTTTACATTCATACTGTGTAATACAGGCAAACATAGATCCTTTAAAAAAACAGGAATGAAAAATATAAGATGAACGCATGTAACTTGATCTACAAATTTATGGTAACTTGTAATATTACATAAGAATTCATGATTGTTATACAGAATAATTTTTTATCTACAAGCAATCATATTTTTATCATGATCTTCGTGTCTTCCAATTATTCAGACATTTGCTTATACACACAAACTCCATTCATTTAAAATAGATACGATCTTTTACACTATAAACAAATTGATTAGAGTCTTTTTACGTAACTGTTTCCACACTACTCTAACTTCTGAATTTCTAAATAGGTTTTTTAATTTCATTTACTAATTGATCGATTCTAAGTGAAATCATATTATGTTAGTTCTAGTTTATCATTAGGACAAGTGCTTTTAAAACTGCATAAAGCTACGCATTTGACGCATAAATAAAAATTGTGTATTTCTCTCAGTTTAGATCTAAAATTTGATGAAATCGAGTGTAGTATGAAAAATATCGGTTTTTTTGATCAATCTTGTTTTGAATATTCCATTTTATTATTAGTGCGTCAGTTTTATTTATCAGCTATTAATGTACGGTATCAGTAAGAACATTTGTGAAAAGATTATGAAATTAAACAATTAAAACACTTTATTAAGATGATGGTCTACGTTGTGCATCAGTGCAATTCGCACTGAGGAAAAAATGTGTTTTCTTTTAAGTTCATTCATTTTTCCGTTACACGTTTTGGCTTTCTAAGTTTTACATATTTTGATAAAGTAATAAAAGTTGTAATTATATAATGACTAGTCGTAGGAAAACAATGATTTTTTCTACTTATTAAACATATTTTCATGTCTCATAATATTTATATAAATGTAGAGAACTGAACAGGATATATACTTCGTCACAAATATCGAAAAAATTTTTTTACTTAAGGTCATTTTTTAGCACGTATCAGTACTTTAAAACAAACTTATAGTTCTGTGATATGTACAATTCAATAGTGAATTAAATCAGCAAGAAAAAAAATACACATAACCTTATTGATTTATTTTTTGTGAATCAATGTTTCTTTGAGACTTAGAAAATAATCTTTGAAAACTTTCTAGAAAATAAACATAAGAAAGATATTAATGTACGCATGAAAATGACTCGCTTTTTTTTCAATGATATTCATCCATGTATAGAAATATTGCATTACGTGCATTCTACTTTCGTGTTATACTTATTAACTTAAGGAAATATTTAACTATCTAAGTTTTCAATGTTATAATGTCTCGCATAAGATATTTTGTTATGTTAGTGCTCTAACTCTTGTTATTATGCATTTCTTATTGTAAACAAGAAAGCCTATCTGACTTTGTTGCAGAAAAGACCAAAATATTTTCCATAATTCTGAGAATTGAAACGGAGAAAATTACTGAGATAGAATGTACTAATAGTCCAGACCAATAAATATAACTGCAAAGCTAATAAAATCAAATGCATCCAAATTTAGATGAATTCTTCTAGAAAATTCAGTAGACTTCGTTTCATATATCTGAAGTTGGACGTACATAAAAAGAATATGTATATATATATATCTAGCATAGGTACTATCATAAAAATGTTATTTTTCTAGTTATTTCCTCGTGGATTCTAATGTTAAAGTAGTTTGCATTATGATGTTGCATATATGCCTATATTTAGATAGTAAATAGCTTTTTTTCCTAGTAATATTGTACTCATTCAACAAAGTTATCAACTAAGTACAATGAATTTTTTCTTTTAAAATATTACGATTTCTTGCTCACTACGGTCAATGCAAAATTATGTACTCTTACATAAATCAATAGATTCTATTTAATTCAATAAATTTCGTCATTTGGAAAATAATCACAGAAAACAAACATAGTCAATTTTCTGTTGTATTCTGTATTTCTTTCGACTTAAGCGTATGCATAGCCTTTCTTTCATGATCAAATAAAAAGTAACCATTGTTGTGTATTTATATATTTTGTAAATGAATGAGAGAATTCTTTATGCTCTCATTATTCCATATACGATATCAAACTTGAAATTTGAAAAGTCAGTTGAATTCAAATTTCAAGCTAGACAGTTCCTTTTTTCTTCATAAAATGATAAACAAAGCGATAGCTATCATATAGTTAACATGAAGGTTTTTCAGATAATATGTATCAAAACAAAATAATATATCTATAAAATGAAAGTGCGATTTTTACATTGAAAAATCTTAAAATTCAATTT